TCCAGTCCTCCTTAGAAAATTAAACAAATGTCTCCGTCCTTGGTCACTATTTCCATATGTTACTATATTTTTACCATTAAACTCTACTATACCTATTTCCCGTAGCTGATCCTTGAATAGTGATGTTTGATTCTTCTTCTTCTGTTTTATGGTGGGTTGCTCCAGCGTTAAGGTGCATTATAGTGTTGGAGTGTGGACCAAAGTTTACTTATTTCATAAAAGAAACCCTTCATTCTCTTTATCAGTTCTGTACTTTTGAGATAAAGAAATAAGCTCTCTAATCCATACGTGATAATACTTTTTTTTTAGCTTTATTCCTTCCACTCCCACCTTTCTAAGTTCCTTCTTCATTGTTTCTTTTTCATTAAAATACTTTTGACAAACACATAGATGTTCCACTGACTCCTCTTGTGGCAAACATAGAAATCATGATTATAACTTGTGTACCCCCCACCGCCCCCCCCTTAAAAAAAAAGTAGAGATGCATGTCAGGTTTTGTTTTATTATTGGTTTATTTACTGTTATTTTATGTACAACTATTCATTTCTTTTGATTCAAGGGCATTGTGAAAGACACATAGCACTATCAGGCGCAAGTGGGGCAAAGTTTTGGGGTCCTGAACATTCTGCGGTGAGCAAGAAAGAGAGATGTGCCATGTTTGTGCTCCGTTTTGTCTTCACTTGTTTTGTTTATTAAAGATGAACCTGATCATATCTGCATTTCTGCATCAATGGATGTAATGTGTGTTGTAGGTGCAAAACTTTTAGTAATCTTAACCAAGATGTAGATACTGTTTACTATTGTCCTCTAGCATTATCAGCATACGTTTTTCCTGTTTAACACTGTAAAGCTGCTTTGACACAATCTGTATTGTATAAAGTGCTATATAAATAAAGGTGACTTGACAACTGTTTTATACATTAGTTGGTATCTACATCTTTTGATAAAGCTGACCTACTTGTTTACCTACTTGCTTAAGTTTTTGCGAATAAATGCCCACAAATTGGTCTTAACCTATTTCTGAGTTAGTGTGTCATTATAGAAGGCCAGACTGTCAATATGGCTTCAGTGGGAGATGTTATGTGCTCCATATATCAAAATGGCCATAAAGATGCTGTGCAGTGCCAGTTGTGAAAAAATACAGTCTTTGCATTGCCTTTCTTCTGATCCCAT